GGAGGGAGTGCTGGAGTTATGCTGCAGGGGGGAGGATGTGCTCCTTCTCGCTGACGTAGCCCCATGTAAGTGGCACCATCCGGCTGCCCTGTTAGCCGCGCGTGCTCTGCATGGGGGAGGGGGGGAGGGGAAGTCCGGACATTAGCAAATTCCCCCCTGACGCTATTTTTAGTTCAAAAATCCGGACATGTCTGGGGGAATCCGGACGAATGGTAACCCTAATACTGTGATATCATCAACCGCACCCTATAGCTCCACTGTTGTGCTTACTCCAGTAACATCTCGCCCCCGCAACCTATAACCCCCTGTGCTGTGTGCTGACCCCAGTAATACCCCACCCCTGCCCTATAACCAACCCCTGCTGTGCTACCACCCCAGAAACACACCCCACCCCCAACCTATGAGCCCCTCTGCTGTGCACTGACCCCAGTAACACACTGCCCCCTGCCCTATAGCCCCCTGTAGTGGGGCGGAGGGGCCTCCCACTGAGCCAGAGGGGTAGGGATCACTGAGCTCCCTGGTGGGTAGAGCCAGGCCAGGCTTGCCCCACACGCTGGAAGCTGAGGGGCGGTACGGGAAGTATAAGAGGTGGGGCCTCTAGCCCAGTTGAGCCTGAGCCAGGGAAGGAGATGGATATCCCAAACCTGCTGCAGGCCCTGGGCTCTGCATCGAGCCATGGAGCACCCTGCCCCCAGAGGAAGCTGAGAGTGGAGCGGAGCGACGAGGATTGCTGGCGGCCCAATACCCCAATGAGACAGAGGACCCTTGGGCTATGGAACCCTTTGGCCAGACGGTGGTAAGAAGCAGTCCCAAGGAAACCAGACTTTGGTCCCCCTGCTGCCAACTCCACCCCTGTGATGGCAGTCTCCCCAACGTAGGCCAAATGGCCTGTGTTCACCTGCTGTGGGACTCCGCCCTTCCCTGCCAAAGGGGCCTGGAGTTCTGGCGCTAATTCCCTGAGACTGGTTGGTGCCCCAGTGCCATAGTGAGGTGAAGTGGCCTCCCACTGAACCAGAGGGGGAGGAATGATCACTAATGCACTACATCCCTGGCCGTGCTGTCACCCCCGGGAACACCCCGCCTGGCAGCCCCCCACCCCCTGGCCATTCTCTCACCCTGGGGACACCCTGCATTCCCCACCCCCAACTGTGCTGTCGCCCCAGGGACGCCCCACACACACCCCGGCCGTGCACTCGCCATGGGAACGCCCCCTCCCCACCCCAGCTGTGCTCTCGCCCCGGGAATGCCCCACACACACCCCGGCTGTGCTCTCGCCCCTGGAACGCCCCGTACACACCCCGGCCATGCTCTTGCCCCAGGGATGCCTCCCAGCGCCCCCCCCAGCTGTGCTCTCACCCTGGGGATGCCCCGCTCCCCTGTTTAATGCACTGCTGAAGGGGCTCAGATATTACAGTGATGGGCACGGTATAAGGAGCTGTACGGAACAGAGTAGTGTCCTCCAGGCGCCCCTCCCCCGCCCCCCGGCATAACCCTCTCTCTGCACTCTCTCTGCAGTTGTGCTGTCACCGCCAGGAGCCCTTGTTTCATGGTGTTTGTGACAGTTAGAGCTGAGTGTAACCCTGTGAAAATCCTCCAGCACACTCAAGGCGGGGATGGGGGGCAGGGCCCGAGACCCACACTAGGGAGGGGGCATATCGGGCAGACTCTATCTGTGCAGGGCTGTGCTGCCGCCCAGTTCCCCTAGTGACTGTGGTCTGTCCCCTTCTCCCAGCTGCTGTATAAATAGAGGTGCCGAGCAGCAGAGAGCTCCTGGCAGCCACCATGCAGGGACTGAGGCTGCTGTGTTGCTGCGTGGCGTCTCTCCTGCTCCTCGGGGCTGCAGGTAAGGCCCAGCTCTGCTCCCCACTGCCTAGGGGGCTGGGGCCCCCGGACACTGTCAGGGGTTGTGCATTGTGTGTGCTGAGGTTCCGGGGCCCTTCCCTTGCCTCAGCTGTGCCCCTCTCTGCCAGCTCCCCTGTTCTGTGTGGGCACAACAGGGGGATTGTCTGGCTTGTCCCCTGCTCCAGGGCAGTGACTGTACCCCCAGCCCGCAGCTGGGGTGTGCAAGCCACACAGGTCTAAAGGGGGTGCCTAGAAAGCACTGGGTGTGGCATGAGTAGAACCCTGTAGGGAGCTGTCGAGCTCGGAGGCCCCCGGGGGGTATCTTGGCTTGAATTGACCCGGGCAGCCCCCCGTGCTTTTTGGGGGCAGCTGCCATGATGCAGTGAGGCTGTCCTGCAGCAGGCAGGCATGTGGGGAGGTGTTCTTTTGCTGTGTTCATGTTGCATGTGAAGGGCAGACTTTGATGCAGCGGGTGGGTTATTTCTGCGCTGCGGCTGGGCATTATGTTGGGCCTGCCCGTGCGCTGGAGTCACTCCGGAGTCGGGGACTCCGTGAATGTCCCAGCCGTGGGAGGCAGCGCAGGAACACGGCAACTATCCAATGCCTGATTTTTTTTCTGTGCTGCACTGGGGGAGGCTGGGCTGCATTTTACCGTGGGGCGCTGTGCTGTGGTGGTGTGTGTGCAGGGGTTCCTCTCCGTTTCCTTGCCCTGATGTTGCAGATATGCCAGGCAAAATGTAGGTGCAGTTCGGTATTTTGAGTCACATTCCCAGGACCTCCCCTCGGCCCCCCACTTTCTCCCCCATGCATGCAGGGCAGTGACCCCATGCCACCATGGGTCCCAGCTCCAAGGATTCCTGGGCTGTGTGTGGCTGCTTCCTGCAGGCTTCTCTCCTTTGGGTTGCTGTCGGAGGAATGGGGCAAGCAAATCAGCATTACCCTTGCTTGCCCTTGAGTTAATTTGGTCTCTCTTTGCTACATGGGCTGGGGCTGCATATCCCAGGCGGCTGCAAGGTGGCTAAGTATGGAAACAGCCTTGTAACTGGACGCCGAGCTCCCCACAGCCCTCCGGCCCCTCCTTCCCCTCCGCTTCCCCAGCCTCTCCCACCATGGCCATGCCCAGCTGCTGCCTTCTAGCATTGTCACACAGGGGACTGGCAGCAGGAGTTTTATCCTTTTAAGGACATCCTTTATCATTCACAAGAACAAGAGGGGAGAGTGGCTGACAGATCCCAGCTCTCCCTCCAGTGTGTCCTGGGCTCCGAAGGTTATTCCCCAAGCTGAGCATGAATGTGGAACAGCTTGGCACCGGGAGGGCCAGGAGAGGATTCAGCCCTCCTTGGCTGTGGAATGGTTCGATAGCTGCTACTGCAGCCTCAGGGCTGGGGCAAGAAGAATGGCCCGTGGAGCCATGTGCTGGGGCATCCATCAGCCCCTCCCCTGTGCCCATTGACGCTCAGGAGGGGTGGAGCCCTGCACGGGCTTCTGGTGTCCTGAATCACATCAACTTGGCTGCATTGCACTCTGGAGTGGAGAGGAGCATTCGGACAGTCAAGGTCCTTCCGGAGGCTGCGTCTATATGGACCATCTGGGCAGGATTTGGTGCCATCAGCACCTGCTTGGGCATGCCCAGGCCATGTGACACCGTCGCTGGCAGGGCCTATCAGAGCCCGAGCCAGAATGGCAGGAGTCCCCCAGATTCTCAGCATGGGTGCCCAGAGAGAAACTGGGACCATGTCATGGTGGGACGCACAGAGCACAGCGTTCCACTGCCTCACAATCCATGGGAGGGCACAAGTGGCACCCCAAGGGGGCTGGCAGGGAGCTGTCTGGGAACTGTCAGACACATCCAGGATCCTTTCTCAGCTCTGACCTCCCATCTGCTTCTCTGGTCCATAACCTCAGAGCTGTCCCAGAGCCCAGCTCTCCTGTGTACCTCACTCTGCCACACACTGCATGTGCAGGTACCACCCTGCATGTGCCACTTCCTCCACTCAGACTGCTGGGTGGCAGCCCTCCCTCACACTCCAACATGGTGACACCTGGAACCCATCCCCTGCTGCGGCCCGCATAAATTCACCTGTCTCTTCCCACGCCCTCCCTCTACCCTGCCAAGTCTGCTCAGCTCTGTCCCTAGCTCCCGTCCTTGGCCAGCCACTGCCACTGCACCAGCTACCTGCCTCCTCATGCCTTGCCCATTTCCCATCGCCAGGTAATGTGCCGCGCAACACACACGGTCAGTCCCATTTGAGTCATTTGCATACTGGAATCCTATTAGTTTCATCATTATGATGTCACAATCGTGAATTAAAGTCTACATCGAATGTCAGTCAGGGGAGGTTTGCCCTCATGCCACCTGGGCCGTAGCCTTTACAGAGGGATGGGAAAGCAGTGGCACCTACCAAGACTTGAGGTCAGGGATGCGTGTTTTGCTCTTCCCCTTCCTCCTAACAGCGACAGTTGCAGGGAAGGGTTTCTCCGATGGGCTGGGAGGGAAGTGGAGAGATTAGCATTTCTATTTTTATGTACTTAGGAGACACTCAGATGCTCCCCTCACTGGAGTCACACAAGTATCTAGAAAGACAGCTGGTTTTTCCGGCAGCTACTGCTGAGCCCACCAACCCCTCAAACAGGAGCGGCACTTCTGCTTTGTGTTAGTGACTGTAGCAGCTATGCAAGAGAGGAGTTACTTTCTTCTGCACACGTGGGGCCTCAAATAATCTGCCTTACCCATTTTTAAAAAGCAATTCAGTTTTCCCCTTTTAAATAAATGACTCCCCCACCCTCCCATGCACATACACATATACACCCCTGCTGTGCAGCATGCACCTGTCCAACTCTGAGTTCCTTGCTGGTTGCCCGTCACATCGCTCTAGCTGTGTGTGTGGCACGTCTCTGTGATACCCTGGGGAAGTCACAGAGACGCTGCATAAGACGTCTTGTGCGCTCTCTGCAAACCCTTCCCATACCAGTCAATGCCCATAATCAGATCAATGCCTTTTGCAGTCCTGTCACTATAGATTGTATCATCCCTTATATGTGCGTCTCACTATCACAGCTGGAAATTGTCCCTTGTTCTGCAGTGATAAGAGTTTTTATCAGGGGCCCCAGGTGGCATTGTTGCTGGTTTTCCATGGCTATGCATTGTTTTTAGGGTTCCCAGGTACATGTAGCATATACAGGACTTAGCCATTGTGATGCCAGGGACTAGACCTGGGCAGCATCTCTTGCTGGGGGGCATGGATGGGCTAGGATAAAATAGGGCCTGCTCCAGCCAGTGCCTTTGTGGAGCTAGAGCATAGGTTTCCCCTCTTCCCTGCCTATTTCTGTGCTGCTCTTTTGTGCACTTCCTCGTTTTGCTTTGTGTCATGTGACAGTGGTAACGAATCACAAGAGAGAGCCACTTTCTTCTTGCGCGAACAAGGAACTTTAATGGACTACAGGAAACAGTGTCATTCCTGAACCCCCTCTGCAGAGCTGCTGCCTCAAACCCTCTCCAGCCCCGTCAGGTTCCTGCTATAGATTTAAAGAAACATGCATCCCCTGCTGGCAGCAAGAGAAAACCGTGACATCCCAGGAGACGGTGTGTTCTCACATGACCTCCACCCAGAAACTGGTGTCCTGCAGGAATGGAAGATCAGATGTATGAGGAGGAATGAGCAAGGCAGCTAAAAATATATAGTCTGGAAAGAAGAAGGCTCAGGGGACACAGGGTTGCAGCCTATAAAAATACCTAGATATTGCAGCACAACCTGAGAATTATGCTGTGGGGCCATTTACATAACTTATTGCAAAAGCTCTCTGGCTCTGCCTTTGGCCTCACTGGCGGCGGTATGACCTGCTGAGTGCAGTGCAGCTACTCCTTATTTACACGGGTGGAAGTAAGAGCAGAATCCACCACAAACTATTGGAACAAGTTACTCTATCAGTGACAATTTTAAAATCAAGACTGGATGTTTTTCTAAAAGATCTGCTCTAGGAATTATTTTGGGGATGTTCCCTATTCCATGTTCTAAAGGAGGTCACACTAGATGATCAAAATGGTCTCTTCTGGCCTTCGAATCTATGAACCTATGTTCAGGTCATGTCCAGTTAGGAGTTGATGATGGACCTAGTAACAGAGAGGTTACATAGGTGTCTTCATGGTGCTTTCGCCATCAGAGAGGCATTCACTTTTCAGCCTGTATTAATGGGGTGTCTTTCACATCACGTTTTTCTAGTTTTCTTTCTTTTTCTAATTTTAGTTTATGGGAATTTTGTCTAATTCTCCAGGTTTTAGGTCTATATTTGATGGTCTATAGTAGAAATATATTCTCCTTGCTATCACATCGCCGACTGTATATTTTTTATGTATTTTGGCTTCCAGGGAAGATTATTCCCTGTGATTTTTACCATGTAATGAAGCATTTAAGGAACAACATAATTTATGATTAAAAATAAACACCATTGAGGTAACAGTATAAATGAAAGAAGAGAATTGTTCAGACTTGACCAATGGCAGCATAAGAAGCTATGACTTGAATCTAAGGAAGAGTACAACTAGGGTACAAACCAGGAATAGGGTTTTTAATAGCAAGGCCCAGACAACAAATAAAGATAGTAACAATCTTTTTATACAAAGAGGTACAGGGGAGTTTGTGCAAAATGCTGGTTTTTCCCCCCCAGAAATGTTTGCATGTGTGGTTGGTTGGTTTTTTCAAAAATCTCCACTGATTTGCAAAAAAAAAAAAGAAAAGAAAAAAAAAGTGCTATTTTTCACTGAATTTTCACTGAATTTTTTATTGCTAGTTTTTATTTTTCCAAAAACTGACTTGTCAGTAACAGAAACATTTCAGTCTCCATTTTGAGAACCTTTTTGATGAAACATTCAATTTAAAAGATTTTGCAAAAAAAAATCAGGAAAAATGGGTCATGTTTGAACCCTGCAAAATGGAAAGAATGTCAAAATGTCAACTTTGTTTTTCAATTTTTTATTTATTATTAATTAATATTATTTTATTT